AAAGAGTTGTAAGTGGTTGTTTTAACCAAAAAGTATATAATATTTTATTTTAAATAAAAATTAATTCTTTATATATATGTTTTTTTTTTTCGGTCACAATTAAATTAGTTCACTTTGAACGATCGGATTTTGATAAAAATAATACATTGTCTCGTCCAGTTTCGATCTTTGAAGGTATGTATAACATAAGATAATAATTCTTTTGATACCTTTTTTTTCTTTAATTGTTTAATTGATTCGTTTTTTTTAGGTCGGTCACTTGCACCACCATCACCACAAATGGGTCGGCGGCCCTCTCGCTCATCACGCCAAAGTTTCTCAGAGGATAGTGGTTCGACACTTGGCAATACTACTGATCGTTTACTGCTTGAAACGCTTAAAGAATTAGATAGATCAAAAGAAACGACCAAGGTTCTTTATTTTAAACATTCAACTTGAAATATTGACACTTAATCTAACCTAATTGAACGAATAACTAATTTTAACTATACATTCCCAACAGAAATATGAGGCCAGGATAAAAAAACTTGAAGACTTATTGCATACTAATTATCAAGCCTCCAAAAATTCTACAATGCTCTCTGACACGCATAAAATAGATCCAAAATTTTCCGTTTCAGCGGAATTAGAAAAGAATGCACTTCAAGAAAAATATAACGAGCTCCAAAATCAATATAATCTATCATTAACACGATGCAATGAGTTGGAGACAAAAGTTGCTGAGCTTGAGAAAGTTAATCAAGCGCATGAAAATTATATAGTAGAAACAAATAATGAAAAAAGTAATCAATTGGAAGAACTTCAGAATCGTGTTAATGAATTGAATCAAACATTGCTTAATGAAAAATCCGAAAAAAAAATGCTTGGTGACAAGTATGAAGATAGGATTCAAGAGTTAGAATCACTTTTGCGTGAATCTAATAGGAAAAATGTCGACCTAGAGAAGGAATTAGAAGTGTTGAAAACTGATAATGAACTTGTCAAAAAAGAAAAGGATGCTGCTGAAGCAGAAACCTTTACGCTGGATTCTAAGATTAATAGTATTTTAGCAGAAAATAATAAATTGAAAGGTCTATTGGAAGACAGTCAGAAACAGGTTTGTACCTGGTCTTATTTCTTTATAACAACAATTGTTATCAATAAGCATAATAATAATATAGGTTTAATTCTAGAATGAAGAGAGAGAGAGATTGCACAAGCAAGAACTTGATCAACTTCAGAAACAATCAGATGAAAAACTCCAAGAAATTGAAGGTTGGAAAGAAACTCTAGAAAAGATGAATTCTGCTCGAGAAGATTTGGAACAAAATCTCGCCAAAGTATCGTATTTTTTTTGTAGATTTATTTTATTTTATTTAATTTTTTTTTAATCAATTATATTTTCCTTTTTAATTGTCTAGTCACGAGAAAAAATTAAATCTATAGAACAGGATTATAACGAACGCACAAAAACTTTTGCTACGGTATACAATTAAGTGATTTCATTATATAAACTGCGAGTTTAATAATTGTCATGTTTACCTTTGTTTACTTTTTTTTTTAATAGACTGAGAAATTAATAAAAGACATCTCCGAAACAATTAATGAATATATGTTTATTATCACGTCTAATGAATCTTCTAATTCAGAGCAGGTATGTAATTCATGTAATAATGTAATAATTGAAAATCTATCTAGAGTTTTATTATTTGTAAACACCTTTTTGCTGAATATTCTATTCTGTTGGCTGAAAAGGCGATATCAAACGATAGTCTTGATCCTATAATCATGATACGAAATATGGGAAACGCTGCAAAGTATCTGGATCAAAAGTTGCGTGAAACAAGTCAAGTAAGTTTGTAAAAATCTACATGTAGGTTATTTATTTTACTTAAAATATTCTAAGATAATACTATATATTAATAGTCATTAGATGCATCAACGACTTTGAAAACGGAACTGGAAAATTCACTAACTGAATTGCGTCGAGAGTTGCAAGAGCGAACGGAATTTTCTAAGGGGTTAAGTAAATCTTTGTGGGAATATTACAGTAGCCTTCGGACATTAATGAAAACTATGGAATTAAAAATACCAACGTTGGCTGATAATTATGTAATGAGTGTAACATCTATATCACAGAATGTTGATGACAATAAAACAGGATTGTCAGATAGTTGTTATACAGAAGATTTGAGCAAATTTTTCCTTAACGATAATTGTGATGAACAAAGTTTTTGGCCAAAAGATAAATATGAAACTTTACTTTCATTGACGATGAAAGTAAAATTGGATGAGGTACGAGACCTAATATTGCGAGCGCTTAAAGATGCTGAAAGTTTGAGAAATCAATCTCAAGAGGAATCTAAATCATGGAGAGGTAAGTATAATCATCAATTTTAGAATTTAAATTTAAATTATTTAAATTGAAATTTTATCAATTTATTTCATTCAAGAGGAATCAAAATCATATAGAGGTAGGTATAATCATCAATTTTAGAATTTAAATTTTATTTAAATTGAAATTTATTAATTTATTTTATTAGAAAAATATCACAAAGCTAGAGAAGAATCAAAAGATAAGATTGTATTTCAAAAGTAAGCAAAACAATATATAATATATATATTTAATATTTATCAATTAATGCTATATTAAATTATGTTTTAATTTACAGTTTCAGGACCAAGGACATTGTACTTTTCTTTCCTTGTAACCAATCGCCTAAAAACCCATCACCTAAAAAAACATATATGGCCTTCAACCATAATTGTCCTCATTACTATTTAAGCGATTTCGAAACAATTAAAAGCAAAGATTTTATTATGGGTCGAATTATAAAAATTTCAACCCATTACGCGGTTCGTTATCTATGTTCTTCCTTGATTATTTATTGTAGTAATAAATAACGTAATATTAATATGGAGACTATCAATTTTATATATTATTTCTTATAGGAAGCAGAAAATAATCCTTTTGAATTGCCAATTGGCGTCAAGTATTGCACAGTAGATATCGACGAAAATTGGCAGAATATGACCAATAGTTTTCATAGTAGACGTTATTCAGTAAATACAACAGATACTATAACTCGCTCTCCCCGCTCTCACAAAAGTCATAGCCTTCCTTCGCACTCATTATCATCATCGGTCATTATGTCTAACGACGTTAGATCTCAATCCATTTCCGAGATAAAGAATTTTTCGACACCTCCAAACAGCAATAAATAGTTTTTTTAAAAAAAAAACAATAAGTTAGCCGATACTATGAATAGTACTAAATGGATAAATAATTTAGTACCAATTTCATAGTATAATATTTCGAATTTATGAGTTTAATAAAGTTTTTAACATGTGTTTTCATTTATTTATGTAATTTTTGTGCAACTATATACTAGACATAGTTGTAGTAACATTAGATTATTAAAGGATTTATGAAATTTAAATTACCAGATGATTGTTGTTAACCCCTTCAATCTTATTCGGCTCATTGGTGCAAAAGTATTGTTTTTGATAGATCTGCGGTTGCTTTTTTGATATGTTAGGTTCTTGATGCATCATACAGTACATAAATTTAAAATTTTTCAAGTATTTGAGCGATGACCACCCAACTAAATTCGATAAACTTTTTTTTATTTTGATTCTACAATCTGCGGAATCAAAATAAAAAAATTCGTCGAGGTAGTTGCTGAGATATGGGGTCTTTGCCTTCTTACGGTACATGATACCGTAAGGTCATTTTCAAGGCAAAGACCCCATATTTTCACTCAAAGTTTTGGAAACATTAAAACATCTAACAAAAATAACCGGCGGCAAAAAATTTATAAAACTTTGAGCGAATGTATCTCAGCAACTACCTAATAAATTCGATTAATTTTTTTTATTTTTGATTCTACAAATCTATGCAATCAAATAAAAAAATTTATCGAATTCGGCTAGGTAGTTGCTGAGATATTTTCGTTCAAATTCTTAAAATATCTCAAATAACTACGGCAAAATTTTATAAACCTTCGAGCGAAGATATCTCGGGAAGATTGAAGATCAAGGAACCCAGTGATATCTTCATGATGATCACATAAGTATCACATCACATGATTAAGTGTTATGCCTACGTTAGGGTTAGTGTTAGGGTTAGGTGATATGTTAGTTTAGGCTAATTTGTTTATTCCCAGTAAACAAATGACGTAATTGCATTATTTCACGTGATGTGATAATCACTCTTCAATTGTCCCGATATCTCAGCACCTACCTACCGTAAATTCTCAAAATAGTGGGCATGGGCGTTATTTTGAGTTTTGGCCCGAATTAAGCTTAATTTAGGCCAAATTTCGTAATTTTACCCCTGGGCGTTATTTCGAGAATTTATGGTAACCAAATTCGAAGATTTTTATTTTGATTCGACATGTCTGTAAAATCAAAATAAAAAAAATTTCATCAAATTTTGCTAGGTAGTTGCTGAGATAACTTTTGAAAACATTAAAAAATAACAGCGTGGCAAAATTTTTATAAAACTTTGAGCGAAGATATCTCGGTAATTACCAATCCAAATTCGATGAAATTTTTTTTTTATTTTGATATGACAGATCTGTAAAGTCAAAATAAAATAAAATTCATTGAATTTGGCTAGGTGATTGCTGAGATATCTTCGCTCAAAATATTGAAGGCATTAAAATGTCTATCAAAATAACAGCGGTGGAAAATTTTTATAAACTTTAAGCAAAGATATTTCAGCAAATATTCAACCAAATCCGATGAAGTCCTTTTTATTTTGATTCTCCAGATCTGTAGAATCAAAAAAAAATTCATCAAATTTGGCTAGGTGGGTGCTGAGATATTTTCGCTCAATTTTCGAAAGCGAAATAACAGCCGCAGCAAAATTTTTATAATACTTTGAGCAAAATATCTCAGAACCTACCTAGCCAAATTTGATGAAACTTTTTTTATTTTGATTCTACAGTCTTAGAGTCAAAAATATAAAATTTATTAAATTTTGCTAGGTGGTTGCTGAGATATCTTTGCTTAAAGTTTTGAAAGTATTAAAACGTTGTCAGACCCGAAACTGGCGAGTCTGTCGCTAAACCGGTAGGAGGTTTGTATAACCACAGATTAGGTTACTTAGCGTCGAAAAAGGCGGTTTAGATTTAGTCGAGTGGTATAATTTCGAATCAGAATTTAGGCCTTATATAACTTTAGTATTGGGCGTAGCGAAAGTGTTTTATCAAACGTTAAGTTTGGTAAAGGAGTCTGTGATTTATTAAAAAAAACGACTTGTATGATTTATTGTAGGAAAATGTAAGATTTATGAGAAGTAGTCGTATGATTTATGAAGAGCAATTGTATGCTTAATGAAAAGTAATTTGTATGATTAAATGATTAACAAAGCAAAAGTGGGAGTTGTTTCTTTCCAGGGCCAAAAGGGCCTTTATTTATAATTATTATTTCGTTTATTTACATTTGCAGGATTGTTTTGATCCTTACTATTATTGCTATCGGTAGTCTGGGATTTTACCAAATTAGTACATTGATTCTGGAACATTCCACATAAAAATTTTTGAGCGATGATTGGCTTACAATCATGCTCTTTGGCTGAGACTTTTCATACTACATGTCGCAAGTAATAACATATCGGCGGATTTTCGGAATTAGTTCTGAATTGATCCTAAATTGTATCTTCAAAGTTATCCACAAAATGAAACCAAAATTTTGTAGCAAACAAATATACGTACATATAAAGAGGTAAATAGATACAATAACAGTGTTATTGTATCTGTTTTACCCATATGTATGTATATTTGTTTGCTACAAAATTTTGGTTTCATTTTGCAGATAACTTTGAAGATACAATTAGTAGAGGCAAAATGGGAGTTCTGGCACAATTTTTGTTACCGATAACGATCTTGCATATAAATTTGCTTTTGCGTCG